GGGCGGTACCGGGGGGACCACCACGGCTTCCTCTCTTCGTCGAGAATCCTACATCCCTTTCAATGTTCTGGTACAGCTATCTCTGAGCACAGGTTTTAGGTTCGCTCTAATGGGAAAAAAAATGGAGGCACCTAACAAGTTATCTTCAACGACAGAACTAGAGATCGCCCCTTTCATTTGGGCGACGAGGATCGTACCATTCCGAGCCTTTTTTTTTTTCATGCTTTTCGGAGGTCTTGGATGAAAAGCTGCAATCTAATAGATTTTCCTAACCTCTTCCCGAAAGGCGAAAGGAAGGAGGTGAAATTCTTTTTTCCTTTCGCAGGGACCGGAGGATTGGATCTAGCCGTAAGAAAGAAATGCTTGGTGATAAATAACTCACTTTCTTGGTCTTCGACCCCCTCAGTCACTACGCAACGCCCCGGTCAGTGCATGGGATGTGTCCTATTTATCTATCTCTTGACTCGGAATAGGGAGTAGGTTTGAAAAAGGATCTTAGAGTGCTATAAGGTGGGGCCAGAGGGTCTCTTTAACGCCTTCTTTTTTCTTCTCATCGAGTTATTTCAAAAGATGCATGGTAAGCGCGAGAAGGGGAGAACCAAGCACACTTGAGAGCGCGTACAATCGAAGAATTGTATGCTGCGTTCGGGAAGGATGAATCGCTCCCGAAAAGGAATTATTTGTTTTCCCATTGTTTGGACGTGGTGCGATGATTTACTTCACGGGCGAGGTCCTCTGGTTTGAGTCCAGGATGGACAGCTGCGCAAAGAAAAAGAATAGAAGAAGCATCGACTCCTAACAGCATGGTCCACTTGGTCGGGGGATATAAGCGTCGTTGGTAGAGCTCGTTTGAATTGGGTCGTTGCGATTACGGGTTGGATGTCTAATGTCCAGGCGGTAATTGAATAGTATCTTGTACTGAACCGGTGCTCACTTTTTCTAAATAATGGGGAAGAGGAACGGAACTGCACTGAAAGACTCTACTGAGACAAAAGAAGTGGGCTGTCAAGACGTAGAGGAGGTAAGATTGGCGCAGTTGGTCGATTAAGTATGGACGTACATGGACCGATAGTTAGTCGCGGCTCTCGCTAAGGGTTCCCTCAGTGGGGATGCCTGGGGAGAGGATGCAAGTTGGCCCTTGCGAAAAGCTTGATGCATCTATCTCCCTTCAATCCCTTTAGCGAAATGCGGCAAAAGGAAGGGAAATCATGACCGATCCATCGTTCTCCCCCGTAGGAGCTAGAGTCATCCGCAAGCGAGCCTTCGGCATCCAGGGGTCGCGGACGACCATAGAACCCTGTTCAAGTAAGTGGAACGCATTAGCTTGTCCGCTCACCTCAGGTTGGGCAGTAAGGGTCGGGAAGGGCAATCACTCATTCTTAAAATCAGCATTCTTAAGACAAAGAGTGGGGGAAAAAGGGGGGGGCTCCGTTCTAGTTTCCTGTAGGCTGGATCTCGGAACCACAAGAGTCCTTAGTTAGTTGAATGGGATTCCAACTGAGCGACCTTTTGAGATTTTGGAAGAGGTTGCTCTTTGGAGACACAGTAGATAAAGTTGTAAGCTGTGTTCGGGGGAGTTATGTCTATCGTTGCCTCTAGGTAGAACTCAGTCGGGGGCCCGAGAGGCGGTGGTTTACCTGTGGCGGATGTTCAGCGGTTGAGTCGCTTATTCCAACTCGTGAACTTAGCCGGGTCAGCTATACGCGATAGCACCCAATTTTTCCGATTCGGAGTTAGATCTAGATTTGAATCAATTTATAATTCATTGGACGTTGATAGATCCTTCCTTTAGGCAGCAATTAGGTGCATAGCCTTACAGTCTAAGTTAAGGGCGAGGTCAACGAAGGAAAGGCTTCGGTGGATACCTAGGCACCAGACGAGGAGGGCGTAGTAGCGACGAAAGCTTCGGGAGTAAAATAAGCGTAGATTCCGAGTTCCCGAATAGGTCAACCTTTCAAACTGCTGCTGACTCCATGGGCAGGCAGAGACAACCTGGCGAACTGAAACATCTTAGTCAAGCAGAGTGAAAGAAAGCAAATAAGGATTCCGATAAGTAGGCGGCGAGCGAAATGGGAGCAGCTAAACCGTGAAAACGGGGTTGTGGGAGAGAATACAAAGCGTCGTCGCCTCTAGCGAAGCGGTGAGTGCTGCACCGCTAGATGGCGAGAGTCCAGTGCCGAAAGCATCACTGTACTTACGCTCTGACCCGCGTAGCATAGGGGCACTGGAATCCGTGTGAATCAGCAAGGACCCCATTGCAATGGATAATAACTCCTGGTGATCCGATAGCGAAGTTCGTACTGTGAGGGAAGGGTGAAAAGAACCCCATCGGGGAGTGAAATAGAAATGAACGTAAGCTCCAAGCAGTGGGAGGAGCCCCCCGGGCTCTGACCGCGTGCCTGTTGAAGAATGAGCCGGCGACTCATTAGCATGGCTTGGTTAGGGAACCCACCGGAGCCGTAGCGAAAGCGAGTCTTCATAGGGAATTGTCACTGCTTATGGGACCCGACCTGGGTGATCTATTCCATGACCAGGATGAAGCTTGGGTGAAAACTAGTGGAGGTCCGAAACCGACTGATGTTGACGAAGTCAGCGGATGAGTTGTGGTTAGGGGTGAAAATTGCACTCCGAACCAGAACTGCCGGGTTCTCCCCGAAATGCGTTGAGTGCGCAGCAGATTGACTGTACTCTAGGGATAGCACTGTTTCGGTGGCGGGCCGCGAGAGCGGTACCCAAAATCTGAGGCAAGACTCTGAATACTAGATATGACCTCAAAATAACAGGGTCAAGGTCGGCCAATGAGACGATGGGGGATAAGCTTCATCCGTCGAGAGGGAAACCAGCCCGGATCATCAGCTAAGGCCCCTAGATGACCGCTTCAGTGATAAAGGAGGTAGGGTGCAGGACAGCCAGGAGGTTGCCTAGAAGCAGGCCACGCTTGAAAGCAGTGCGTAAAGTAGCTCACTGATCGAAGCCGGCTCTTGCGCCGAAGATGAACGGGGCTAGCGATCTGCCGAAGCTGTGGGTGTAAAATGCATCGGTAGGGAGCGTTCCGCCTTAGAGGGAGCACCCGCGCGAGCAGGGTGGACGAAGCGGAAGCGAGATTGTCGGAGTAACGCAAACATTGGTGAGAATCCAATGCCCCAAAAACCTAAGGGTTCCTCCGCAAGGTTCGTCCGCGGAGGGTGAGTCAGGGCCTAAGATCAGGCCGAAAGGCGTAGTTGATGGACAACAGGTGAATATTCCTGTACTACCCCTTGTTGGTCCCGAGGGACGGAGGAGGCTAGGTTAGCCGAAAGATGGTTATCGGTTCAAGGACACACGGTGTCCCTGCTTTTTCAGGGTAAGAAGGGGTAGAGAAAATGCCTCGAGCCAATGTTCGAGTACCAGGCGCTACGGCACTGAAGTAACCCATGCCATACTCTCAGGAAAAGCTCGAACGACCTTCAACAAAAGGGTACCTGTACCCGAAACCGACATAGGTCGGTAGGAGAGAATACCTAGGGGCGCGAGACAACTCTCTCTAGGGAACTCGGCAAAATAGCCCCGTAGCAAAACTAGCCCCGTAATTCGGGAGAAGCGCGGTGCTCCTCACCAAGGGGGTCGCACCGTGAACAGGCCGGGCGACTGTTTACCAAAACACGCGGTCTCCGCAAAAGTGTAATGACCAAGTATGGGGGCTGGACGCCTGCCCAGTGGCCGGACAGGTCAACGGACAGTTGGTTGACCTGATGAAGGGGAGCCGGGACCGAAGCCGTGAAACGGCGGCCGTAACTATAACGGTCCTAAGGTACGCGAAATTCCTTGTCGGGTAAGTTCGACCCGACGAAAGGCGTAACGATCTGGGACTGTCTCGGAGAGAAGCTCGGCTGAACACTAGAATGTTCTGTTTTGACGATGCCGGACTATGCACCTGGACAGAAAGACCTAAATGAAAGCTTCCATGTTCCCTGGGATTGGCTTTGGGCCTTTCTGGCAGCCTTTTAGGTGGAAGGCGAAGAACGGCCGCTTCCGGGGGGGTCCGAGCCATCAGTGCAGATACATCCTGGAGAGCTAGAATTCTAACTTTCGTGTCAGGAACCCTACGGGCAACGGGACAGTCTCCGCGTAGACAGTTTCTTGGGGCGTAGGCCTCTAAAGGTAACGGAGGCGTGCAAAGGTTTCCTCGGCCCGGACGGAGATTGGCACCTCGAGTGCTAAAGGCAAAAGGGAGCTGACTGCCGACCCACCCATCGAGCACGGGAACGAAGTTTGGCCTTAAGTGCATCCCGACGGTGCCGCAGTGGAAAGGGCCGCTCGCTTCCAACGGATAAAAGTTACTCTACGGATAACAGGCCTGATCTTCCAAGAGCTCACATCCGACGGGAAGGCGTTTTGGCAGCTCGACCATGTCGGCTTCTTCGCCCTGGGGCTGTAGTCATGCTTTTCAAGGGTTTGGGCTGTCTCGCCCATTAAAGCGGTACGTGAGCTGGGTTCAGACGCGTCCGTGAGACAGTTGGTTCCATATTCCGGTGTGGGCGTTACGAGCATTGAGAGGAAAAAAAAAAAAAAAAAAAAAACATCTAATAGCTACTAGAATAGCTAGTATTGTCGAACAGGCCCAAAAAGTGTAGTCTCAATCCTATTCCAATAGGTACATAGGGTATGTTCGACAAAATTAGTTATTTTAGTAGTAGTTAACAGTTTTAATAGCGTTTAGCTGTTAGCCATTTGAGTAGTTTTTCATAAAACGCTAAAAACTAAATGTTACATAAATTAACTTTTTTTTTAAAATGCTACCTTAACCTCTAAAAGATAGTTCAAACGCTATGTTACTAAATACTATTAAAAGTATGATTTTTACTTAAAAATTTGTTGTCGAAAACAACTATAGTCCGGCAGACTTGAACCTTATTCCTACATGACCCGATCAATTCGATTAGGCACTTGCCATCTATTTTTATTGTTCAACTCTTTGACAACAACAACATGAAAAAACCAAAAGCTCTGCCCTCCCTCTCTATCGATCCAAGGGATGGAAGGGCGGAGGCCGTTGGTGCCCCCTCCCTCCCTCCAGTTCAAGAATTGGGCCTCACATCACTAGCCAATATGCTTTTCTCTCCATGCCTTTCTTCGTTCATGGTTTCGAATTCTGGTAGTCCTAGGCGTAGCGGAAACCACACCAATCCATCCCGAACTTGGTGGTTAAACTCTACTGCGGTGGAAGATCTGTGGGAGGTCTGGCGGAAAAATAGCTCGACGCCCCTAGATGATAAAAAGCTTAAACCCTTCATTCTTATTACTTTTTCAATATGAAAAAAAAAATAAAAGGTCGTCCTTAATTCAAACACCCAATTAAATGAAAATCCCTTTTCTCCCACTTCACACCTCGAAGCCACGGTTTCTTTATAGAGAGAGAGGCGCCTTTCGCATCTTCTTAACCCGAAATGGCTGGGGAGAAGAAAGGTTCTTTTTTAAGGTACTCGCCTAATTTTACTGCGGTCAAATTCTTTGCAAGTTATTTTGTATCAATGCAGAAATTATTTTGTACCTTCAGATTTCAATTATAATTATTTAATAAGAACCATCTGATTATATTATAAACAGTAACTTGTCACCGGTTAAACATTTTAATAAAAAAATTAACTCTTCAAAACTCTAGTCACAGGACAATTTAGGTGTGGGTCTTTTGTCGAAATAGAATGCCTCTCACTTTTTCTTCTTTCTTTTTTTCTATTCTTTTTTTTTCATAAATGGTTTAGTCTTTCCATATAGTATGTCCGGCCCGGATCTTTTTTTGTTTTACGCCCCCTAACTCTTCCTCAACCAGGCTTGGGCACATAGCAAAGCAAGTAAAAATATTAGTAGCATAGTAAAACTGAGCCAGAGAAAGAATTACTATTTGCTTAACTTAACTCTTATACTTACGGGACACTATATTATCCCCTTTCCTTACAGGTAGACGATTTGCATGAGATAAAGTAATCATATTCTTAATTGGCTGGTTGTAAATAGCCCCGGGACTATGGAACAAAGGATTATCCCGGACACCTACACCGAGGTATTGACGGTGATTCTCAAATATCGCAGAACAGAATGTGATACGATGAGATAGAATGCAATAGAAACAAAGACACAGGGAACGGGTTACCTGCTCTTAACGGTCAAAGCGAACCCTTTCATTCTGACATTCTGAATTCTTTAATTCGGAATGAATCAAATCTCCTCAAGTAGGATTCGAACCTACGACCAGTCAGTTAACAGCCGACCGCTCTACCGCTGAGCTACTGAGGAACAACGGGAGATTAGATCTCATAGAGTTCAATTCCCGTTCTCAACCCATGACCAATATGAACTCGAAGTTTCCTTCGTAACTCTTCGTAACTCCCGGACTTCTTCGTAGTGTCTTCGTTCCATGCCTCATTTCATAGGGAAACCTCAAAGTGGCTCTATTTCATTATATTCCATCCATATCCCAATTCCATTCATTTAATATCCCCTTTGGGTGTCATTGAATAGAGATGTCGTTTCTAGTCTAAAAAAAAAAAAAAAAAAAAAAAAAAAAAAAAAAAAAAAAAAAAAAAAAAGTAGAAAAAAAATAACCATAATTGATGCAACCCAAGAACCTCCGACCGAAATTGTTCTCAGTTCAAGTAGTTTTCAATTATGCCTCTTAACTGCATCTGCAAAATGTGGCATTGCCAATGAAGGGATGATTCAGACCTTGCCAAATACAAGTGAGAAGATATGAGGTGGAAGGGAGAAGAGAGAATTTGCCACAAATCTTTTTCTTTGGTCGTGAAAATTGGGTTTCCGATTTAGGGTTTAGAAGGAAAAAGGTAGGAGAGAGGAAGTAGAAGAGAAAAAAAAAAACAGTTTTGGGTGAGGGGATTGAAAATCATCAATTTGACTCATTATAGCTGACCTGGCAAATTTTTTTTTTTTATCCACTCTGGCTAGCCACGTCAGCTATCTGATACTTTTTCCAACCATGCTTACTTTTATGGTACAAATATAAATGATAAGACAGTTCTAAGTGATAAAAATAAGATGAAAGACTGAAGTTCCGACTCTATAAGTTGAGGAACCCAATTGAAAATAAGCCAAATAACATATGGAAGTCCAAAAGTCTGCTTCTTGAATATCAGCCAACATATCCTAGAACTAAACTCAAGACTCGGGGAGAAAGCTATCAGTCATTCTCTTTGTAAACCAAATAACAGTTTAATAAGCGTGGATTACCCAAAGTGCTAATATCTCATTGAATGAATGATGTACTGTTCACTAACAAAAGATTGTGCAACAAACCAATAACTTCTCTTTACACAAATATAAATGTTAAAACTGTCATATATATAGATACATATGACTCATTGGAAACATCTAACAATTTCATATTTGTGAGGAACATATTGGCTCAAAAACTAGAAAAAGTAAAAAGTAGAAATTTTTGATAGTTGCCTTGTTGACATACCTCAAGATGAATAGGTACAACTCCTGCCTCCCACAACTAGCTCTACATAACACTAGTCCAACTAAAAAGCAACTTCAAGACAATCGTATCCTCATATGATACAGCCATTCGTCCTCGAGCTAAAAGAGATGCAGTCTTGTTTTACCGCGACAGGAGCTATGAGTACGATTGGAAAAAAAAGTTAAGTACATTAATAAGACAAACCATACTGTCATATTTTCTCTTCATCAGTTAAAGAACAAACACCTTAAGAATGAGTATCTAAATACATTTCAGCATGCAAGCATGCTTGCATTTATATACATCCACAGCAGTAATCTGATTTAGGATCCATTTAGGATTGAGTTTAGAGCTGCTTTTTAAAACGTTGTTTTGATTTTCTTTTTCATTTTCTAATATTTTCTTTTAACTGCTTTTGAACCATGGTTTAAGAAAGCTGAAAATTCTAGCTTCTCTACACTCTATAAGTTTTTTATACTGAAAATGCAGCTTGCTAAAAATCAACCCAACCCCAACAATGTCAAGAGAGCACTTGATGGCAAAGAGGTTTTGACATTGCAATCAATTCAAGAACACAAGGGGGTAATAAAAAGACTAATACTCACATAGGGAATTTCATGCATGAATATGTATATATATTTTATGGAGAGAAAGACCATAGTATTTCAATCAATTAAAATATAGAACTACAAGGGTGCACATACTACTGACTCTTCTGTATATATATATATATATGGAGAGAAATACCGTAGTATTTCAATCAATTAAAATATAGAACTACAAGGGTCCACATACTACTGATTCTTCTTTAGTGTTCATATGGGACATAACAATAGTATCAAAGAACATCAATTAAGACAAAAAGGATAAACATCTGATGGATTTTAACTACTGAAGCAGAATGAGTTCATTAACCATTTATAGTTTTCCAATAGCTATCATTTCAAGTCTCTTCAAAATCTAAATAGAGAATTACTCTAATCATAAAGTTTAAAGAAAAAAAACATGGGGCTTGTAATCAAAAGAAATTATATATATAAAAAAAATCACTTGAGGCATCTGTATAACAAGAAACACAGAGGAAAAAGAGAAAAAAGAAAAAAGCAAGGTTAGTTCTGATGGGAAGAGAGGCAGATGGAGAGAGAGAGCTGAGCCTGTTGACACTGAGATCGTTTCAAGGAAGTCCCGCCGCTCGCACACAGACTGCGAACCAGCTCCGCCTCCCCGGGGCAAGCCACCGAAACCAGGCACTGTGCGAGGCCGCGGTTCAAGTGGCGACACGACACCTCTCGTCCCGTACCCGGCGAGATACGCCGGTGGCACTCGCGAAGCGCCGAATGCAGCCTCTCGCACTCTGGCGGAATCGTTTCTGATCCCACCGCCTGCATATCCCTATCCGTTTTCGGGCTTTTGTGGAATTTATTATGCAAAGCTTGTTTCTGGGTTAACACCCTGTCCGAACTAATAGTTATTCAAAAACTGATGTTAATAAAATCACTTCCACGAATATATCATAACATAACTACTTTCAGGACTATAAAATCACTAGATGAAACTCGTTAATTGTTTTGGTAGTCTGTAATTTAGAAACTATCCATACTTATAATATATTTATAAAATTTTTAAATTTTTATATTTAAACAATTACTTTTCACTCAATAATCTTATTAAATAAATACAATAATAGATAAAACGAGATGCGACTTCCCCCTAGATATTTTACACTTTCTCCCACAAAAAAACTTGTAATGCCTACTCCATTTGTAATTCCATCGATTACTCGCCTATCAAAAAAATGAGTTAGTTCGGCCAAT